GTCCCCATCCCACTGCCCTCACCGAATCGATGAGCACGCTGGCAGTGGGATCCTGATGAGCAGCAGCACAGCCCAGTTCCAGGCGGAGCGTGTAGGAGACACCCTGCTCCAGACAGATGGGCTGGGACAGCACCACATACCTGGATGGGGGCAAAACAGAGCAAGGGCAGCCATGTGCCTCCAGTGAGCCCCAGCACAGCCCAACCCTACTGAGGTGTTTACCTGGCACCAGAGGGGAGGCTGGTGGAGAGCTGGTCATCGGCAGGGATGGTGTTTCCACAAGGGCTGCTGGCAGAGACAGGGCTGGGGCGTAGCACCTTCAGCCTCACCTCCTGCCAGGCCTCTGGGTGCTAGCAGCCAAGAAGGGGCAGTGTCAAAAAGCCTCATTATCTGGAACTCCCCACCACTACCTCCCAATCTGGCAATGTATCACACTGCTGGTTCACCTCCTGGTGCTCACCTGGGGCTCATAGCGGATGACCACATCATACTCGGTGGAGAAAGGCACATCACTCACGTGGAACTCCACCCAGCCGCCTTCCAACATGCGGGCAAAGCCTGTCCCTGTCCAGGAAGCTGGGCGGTCTGGGGGCGGCTCACGCTCCACCACTGAGCCCTGGTGCAAGCAGGTGTGTGAGATGGGACCCTAAAAATCACCTTGGCCAGGAGGCACTGCTCTGCCCTGAGTAGGGACGCTGACCACTGCCTGCTGGTTTGGGCACCCTGCAGAGGGGCACCCACTGTGCTGCCCTGCCTGATGTCCTCCCCAGGGACACCTGCATCCCTTACCTGATGCAGCCGTGCATCCTCTGCCTCGTAGGTGTAATGATCCAGGTTGATGCGGTAGAAACCGGTCTCCACCTGTTCACACTGTCGTCCTGTCACATGGCTGCGGCACTGGCACTGCCCTGTCCCCATGGCACACCTGGTACCCCAGCAGCACCATCAGCCCTGATGCCAGGAGGGGTGCCCCCTGCCCTCTGCATCCCCACGAAGACTCACAGGTTGTTGCGAGCACCTCCCACATCGCAGTCACAGGGCCGGCAGCCTGGGAGGTCGTGGCTCAGTCCCCAGTGCTCGGGCTGCAGAGGGTCACAGGGTGTTACAGAGCAGCTGTCTGTGTGCTATAGTCGCGAGCACTGTGCATGGGCTGTGGCACAGCCCCACTCACCAGGCACTGGTTGCAGCTGTGCCCGGTCACCAGCCGCTTGCAGAAGCACTCCCCACTGACAGGGTCACACGGGCTGCCATCAGCCACCGTGCCACGGGGGTCACACTGGCACCCTGCATGGAGAGCCAGCAGTTTCCAGCAATGCCAAACCACATGCCTGACCCCAATAGGTGCCACCCTGGTACCTACTCCGGCAGCCTTGCGGGTTGTCAGCACTGAGGCCGAAGAAGCCGGGTTTGCAGCGGTCGCAGCGGGGACCAGCCACGTGCTCCTTGCAGCGGCACTGCCCCGCAATCAGGCCCCTGGCCGGGTCATCAGCACTGTCACACAGCCCACCATCCAGAGAGCCCTCAGGGTCACAGTCGCAGGCTGGAGAGACAGGCAGGGTGAGCACTGTGACCACCAAAGCACCACCCTGCACAGCCTGTCCCACACTGACCTCGGCACACCGCGGGGTCCCGCAGGTCCTTGGTGGGGTCCTTGTAGTAGAAGGGCTTGCAGAGGTGACAGCGACGGCCCATGGTGTTGTGCTGGCAGTCATCACACACAGCCCCACTGGTGTTCCCCGTGGCCAGGAACACGGCCATGTCAAAGTGGCACCGCCGTGAGTGCTCGTTGCAGTCACAGCCTGCAGGGACAGCATGGCATGTGGCATGGCATGTGGCACCACAGCCCACACCTGCCAGGCAGCACCCCGAGTGCCAAACCTCCCCTGCCTGGGCTCTCCTTGCTCTGATATGCAGTACCACAATCCCAAACCTCCCCAAAGTACAGCCCTGGCACCCCAGACACCCTCAGCCAGTTTGCATGATGCCAGTCACCACCAAACCACATCCCACTGTACAACACCCCAAAACCCCCTGCACAGCACAGTCTGGCAGCTCCGGCACTGGGATCACTGTGCCAGGAGCTGGTGCCAGCAGGGGCACTCACGGCGACAGGCGTTGGTGCTGGAGCCCTCGGCTGGGCGCCAGGGCAGGTCTTGGTAGAAATCCTCGCAGCGCTCGCAGTTCAGCCCCTGCGTGTGGTGTTTGCAGACACAGCGCCCGTGCACCTGCCAGGATGCCACAGTGAGGGGCTGCGGGACTAGGCGGCACAGCTGCCCAGCTGCAGCAGGGCACACAGGCCTGGCTTGCCCTACCATGCCATCGGTGGTGGCAGGGGCCCCGCTGAGCGGAGCGCACTCCGAAGCGTGCCCGTAGCAGAAGCAGTTCCCGCGCATCACCAGCTCGTAGAGCGCGTAGTAGTACTTCTCCCGGATCTCCCGCCGTGAGTCCAGCAGGTTGTCCCCCAGTGTGTGCAGCTTGGTGAGGTTCACACGCAGGTTGGTGACACGCAACAGGTCTAGGGCAGGGAGAGACCCACCCTGTTGGCACAGGGCACATCCATGCACAGCTCACCTCTGCCGGGCACAGCTGGGCTGGGCTGTGCATGGCACAGGAGGCTGGGCATGGGTCACAGGAGCTGGGCATGGCTGGGATGGGCAGTGCATGGCATGGGGCATCCATGCAGGGCCGCACAGTATCAGGCTGGTCTGTTGTGGTTTTGTGTATCACACAGTATTGGCCCAGGGCTGTGCATGGTTTGGCTCACAGGCACGTGGTTGCATGTGGCCGGGCTGGGCAGCACGGAGCTGTGGGGGTTCAGCTCCCACACACGTAGCTGTGCACAGTCTGGCTGTGCGTGGGCTGGGCTCTGCATTCCCACAGCAGAGGCAGGCTGGGACCCCACCAGTGCAGAACAACACCCTTGGCACAGCACCTCTACGTGTCTCGGGGCACTCACCATAGGGGGCTGTTCCCAGGAGATGGCTGTGCCTGGTTGGTGCAGCCTGGGGGCCCTGGGAAGACAGGATGGCTTCCCCAGAACTGCAGTTTCCCAGCAGCCCTGCCCTGCAGATTCCTCCCCTCCTGCTCCCAGTCTAAATTTAGCCTTGGGTGGGTGATTAACCCACTGTGTCCCGTGCCCAGCCTGACTCCCCATCTCGAACCACAGCTGGTGCTGGGCTCAGCCGTGGCACAGCCATCCTCCTCCATTTAACCCAATGCAGCCTGATCTTCAGCTGCTCTCACAGGGCAGGGTGCAGAGGGGCTCAAGACCCCGCAGGCTGGATCAGGTCCTGATCCCTGTGTAGGGCCCAGAGCAGGGAGAGAGCAGCCAAAATAGCTACGCCCAAAATAGAGCAGCCAAGCAGGAGCCCGGATGGCTGGCAACTCACTTTGGATGGCGGGGCTGTAGGGGTCCCGGATGGGAATGGCAGGGTCCAGCACCCGGTAGATGACCTGGAAGGGACAGCAAGGTGATGGGAGCAGTGCAGGGGACCCCCTGACTCTCCTGGGGCTCTAGTAGGGCCTCACCTCCCCCTCAGTGGAGGGCTCGATGTCAGAGTAGCGGGACTCGCAGACCACATCGTCAATGCGGCGCGGGGGCCCATGGGGCACGTGGGGAAAAGAAGCAGCGCAGTCGTAGGCGAAGTAGCGGTACACTTTCCAGGTGCGCCCAAAGTCGGCTGAGCGCTCCACCAGCATGGCCGCGGGGCGGAAGGTCTGCAGGACACCCAGGCGGGACAGGGGCTAGCCCCACAGCCCCTGAGGGCGTGTTCCATCCTGTCCTGTGCCAGCCTGGATACCCACACGCTGGGACCCACCTTGAAGGTCATGATGAGATGGGTGAAGTGGAACTCGGCCTCCAGGTCCAGCTGGATGCTGACGTGCTCCACACCTGGGGGGTGACAGGTGTGACAAGTGGAAGCACACACTGACAGGTCCCAGGGGCTCGTCCCCCCCACGCGGCAGTGGTCCAGGGGCGCGGCCGCGGCCACAGGCTGAGTCACACTTCCTCAGTGTGGGAGGAAGGGAAAGGAGAGCCCCCCGGGACAGGACAGGATGCTCTACCACCCCCACCCACTACTCACCGTTCTCTGACTGCCACCAGGCTTTCTTGGGGCGGGGGGCAAAGCTGGTGACCACATTCTCGATGCGGTGGCTGTTGGTGTTGGTGCGGGCATCGTAGGGCCGCCGCGAGTCGCAGATGAAGCACTTTTTCTCCTCCTGCGAGTTGGAAAGCTCAATGACGCGTGTCCCCAACCGCGTCCCGTGCCCCTCATCCTTGTCTTGCCCCACCAGGTCCCGTCCCACTCACCTGGAGGTGGCTGACGATGCAGTAGGGCTGGGGCCGGCGCAGCCCGCAGGTGGAGGTGGCACTCAGGCGGGCTGCTCGCCCCACCAGCAGGTCCCCGGTGGCCGGGTAGCAGCTGCCGCGGGCACAGCCCTGCGGGGAATCGGGGGCCAGGGCAGCCCCCAGCCCTGCGGAGCGGCGGGCGGCTGAGGGCGCTGCGCAGGGAGGGGGCCCGGGCCGGGTTTCCCCCCGCCGCGCCCGGGGCCCCTTCCGCACTGCCCGGAAACGGGACGGCGGCGCCGGGCCGGACCCTGGCGCCCACCGGCCCCGGTGCGGCGCGGGGCGCGGACTCACCGGCCAGCAGCGGCAGCAGCAGGAGGGCGGCGGGGCTCCGCTTCGCCGGGCTCCGCATCGCGGGGCGCCACGGGGAGAGACGGGACGGAAAGGGGCGCAAAGGGGGCGCTCGGCAGGTGCCCGCCGCTCCCGTCCCGTCCTGTCCTGACTCACCAGCTCCCCTCCTCGTTCCCGTTCCCAGTCCCTTCCCCGTCCCCTTCCCGGTCCCTCCCGGCCCCTCCGAACTGGCGGCAGGCGCAGCGCTCGGGGCTGCGCGGAAAGCGCGGGGCGGATCCCGGCTGGAGCGGGGGAGCGGGCCGGCCGGGAGAGGAGGGAGGAGGCAGCGCAGGCTGGACAGAAGGCGTCGGACACAGGCACACACAGTTTAGGGCTTTATTTGCAGGCGCGCCCGCACTAAAGGCACCTGCAGAGTGGACGGGACTCCCGGGCTCGGCGACCTGCGGGGCGGCGGGGCAGGACCGGCCCCCGGTCCCGCCAGTGGTCCCTAGCAGGTGGCGTAAGCGTTGGCCCTCTCCCGGATCTCCTGCAACAGCCCGGTGACCTGCTGCTCCAGAGCCTGCAGCCGTGTCACCTTTGCCGCCATCGTCCGTTCATTGGCCCCAAAGCGCTGCTCCAGGTCTGCGGGACGGGCAACAGGGTCACAGTGCAGCTTCCCACCGTGTCCCGTGTCACCGCAGGGACACCCGGTGGAACAGGCCCAGGGGTCACAGGGAGGTGTATGGGGAGGTGGCAGGAAATGTACCCCACCGTGTGCTCCCTCTCACCTTCCAGCTTTCTTTTGCTGTTGCTGGCCTTATCCAGGAGGTCTTGGACCTCTGCCATCAGCTGTGACACGCGCTGCAGGGTCCCACCAGACACCCTGTCCAGTATGCCCACCCTGTTCTTCAGCACCACGTAACGCTGCGTTACTTGGGCCAGGTCCTGGCGGCACAAGGGCATGGCGAGGCTGAGCACCTGCAGCACCCAGTACCTGCCTGGCGCCATGCATAACCAGGCAGGGATGGCTCTCACCTGGCTCAGCGTCCCCGAGGTGGTGGTGGCACGCTGTGCCCCATCCTTGGCTTGCTGGGCCGTGTGGTGAGCACCCTGGCCCTGCTCCTGCAGGGTGGCGATGCGCCGTGCCAGCTCCTGCAGCCGCCTCTGCGCCTGCGACTCCTTCCTGTCCAGCACCTGCAGCCTGCGCTCCGCCTGGCAGGTATGGACACAGGCTGCAGCAGGCACAGCACCGCCTCGCTGCCAGCCCCACTGCCCTGGCACCTGCCACACCTGGCAGGTATGGACACAGGCTGCAGGCACAGCACCGCCTCGCTGCCAGCCCCACTGCCCTGGCACCTGCCACACCTGGCAGGTATGGGCACAGGCTGCAGGCACAGCACCGCCTTGCTGCCAGCCCCACTGCCCTGGCACCTGCCCACTGCCAGCCACGTTTCCCCAGCGCCAGCCTCCCTACCCATAATGTGCCCAAGGCATCAGTCTTGCTCTCCACAGCACTGATCCCATCACTCCCAGTGGTACCAGCTCCGCTCCCCGACCCCGTGCTCCTCACCTCCTTGGCTCTGTTCTCAGCCACCTGGATGGCATCCCTGGCCCTCTGCAGGGTGCTCCCTGCTGTCATCGCCTGTGTCCGCGCCACCTCCAGTGCCTGCTGTGTCCCCACCAGCTCGTCCCTTATGCCTTCTGCTCGCTCCCTGCAGCAGCACAGGCAGCTCCAGCCCCTGCCTGCCACTGCAGCAGGACTGACCCTGTCCCCTGCCTGCCCCAGCATGCCCCCACCACTTGCCTGGCCTCCTGTCCCTGTGCCAGCAGATCCCGTGCCACAGCCAGCCCCTCTGCTGTGCTGTTGAGAACTGCGTCCACCCCCTCCAGCTGGCTGATGCTGTCCCGCATCTCCAGCAGCAGCTCCTGGATCTGTCCAGGGCTGCTGGGCAGGGAGATGTTCAGCACCTGCCGGGCCACCAGCTCGATGCTGCCTGGGTCAGCTCCCTCCTCTGCAGGGACAGGGGAGCAGGGCGGGCTCAGGGTGGGCTCGCTGAGTCCTGCCATGCCCGTGTGCCCACCCAGGGCCGTCACTACCTGCCAGGAAGGCCTTGATTCGGCGGATGAAGTCCCGCAGCTGGGCCGTTGCCTTCTCCGCACGGCTGCGGGCGGCCTGAGAGCGCCCCAGCGCCTCCTCTGCCCTGCTGCGTGCCCCCCGTGCCAGCTCCTGCACCTCCTGCATCTGAGGGACACCCGGCTGAGCAGGGGGACAGGGCAGCCCCGGGAGGAGGCATTTGGGGTGAGCAGGGAGTGAGAGAGCAGATGTGAGCCTGCAAAGGAACATGCAAGGGGGGTGCAAGGGGACAGAGGGTACAGCAGTGGCCCAAGGGGGCACAAAGGGCATCTCTGAATGGCCATAGGAGACACACACAGAGCTAACATGCTTGGGGGCATGGAAAGGGAAAAAACAGGACATAGAAGAGGGTCATGTAAAGTGGCATGGAAAGGGCACAAACAGGACATGCAAAGGAGACACAAGGGGACCCCAGAAAGTGCCATGGAGCAACCACCCCTACCTTCTGTGCCACAACACCCAGCTGCCCTAATGCCACCTCCAGCTGCTGTGAGGCATTATGAGCACTGCTGAGGGCTCGAGCTGAGACAGGCAGTGCCCCTGCACACCCAGTGCCACCGCAGTGCCTTGTCCCCGCGCTGTCTCGGCACAAGGCTCCTCCGCAAGACGCGTGCTTGCAGCTCCGGTCTCCGGGTGCCCCACAAATCTGTGATGATGCCAAAGGCAGAAATGGCAGCTCAACACTGCATGGCGGGTGATGCCCACGCCACTTCTGCCCGCCCCACTCTCACCTTCTCATTGATCCTGGCAATGCTGAGTCCCATCACCCGTTTCTGTGTCTCCCGCAAGGATTTCCGGGCTGCGGCCGTGCCACGGCGGAAAGTGTCGCCCCGCTGCTGCAGCGCCCGCTCGGCCGCCCGCTGCGTCATCTGCGCCCTGCTGAGCTCGCCAGCTGTGCCATTGGCCACCACCTCCGCCTGCCGCGAGGCCTCCGTCGATGCCAGGATGCTGCGGTAGGACTCTGCGGGTGCAGGCGTCAGGCTTTGGCCAGGATGGCTGCCACCGAGCCCAAACCTTGCTGGTGGCTCTTACCGCTGAATCCGGCTGCCGCCACAGTGCCGAGGAGGATCTGCAGGTGAGAGGTGGTTCGGTTGAGACCTCCCAGCTCGCGGCTCAGCTCAGCTAGCCGGTCATGGTGCTGCGCATCCGCCTGCGCCAGCCGGTCTAGATGTTGCTCCAACTGTTGGAGGTGCTTCCAGAAGTTGTCCAGCTCCATCCTTTGGGTCGGAGGATGGCTTCAAAATTTTGGTGGGGGACAAGACAGGGGTCCCTGCACCCCAGCCCTGCATGCACACTTGCCTGGTGCCATCCAGCTGCCTGGGCAGTCCATCGAGGAGGGGACCACGAGGGCTGTCCCCCTCTCCCAGCAGCTGTTCCACGTGCCCCAGAGCCTCCTCCAGCTCCCGCAGGCGACGGGGGCTGAGTGGGAGTGCGGAGCCCCCCTCCCTCAGTGCCTGCACCTGTGCCCCAAGGCGCTGCAGCCCTTCCCGCAGGCTGCCCACGGCCAGGTCCCAGCGCCCAAAGCAAGGGTGGCAGGGCGAGCAGTGGGGGAAGGGCTCCTGGTAGCCCCGCTGGCAGCGGTCGCAGCGCAGCCCCCCGAATCCCCGCCGGCAGCGGCACTGCCCGTTGTCCTGCTGGCACTGCGGGCTCTCGGCACCCAGCGGCTCACACTCACAGGCTGCAGAGACAGTTGGCGGTGTGTCCCAGCCTTCCCAGACTGCCACCATGTCCCAGCATCCCACCATATTCCCCTGTGTCTCCAAAATCCAATTTATTCCCAGCACCTTCTATTGTCCCCACACTTCCACCAAGTGCTGGGTCCCCAGAGTCCTGCATGTCCCCAGACACAGACCATGTTCTCAGTGTTCCACCACATCCCCAGCATCCCACCGTTTCCCCAAGGTCCACCATGCCCACAGCATCCCACCATGTTCCCAAGATCTCCCGAGTCCCTTGTGCCCCCAGTGTCCCACTGTCTCCTTTGTGTCCCATGTTCAGAGTCTCCCACATGTCCCCAGGGCCCCCATTTCCCTAGAGTCTCACCAGGCACCCAGAGTCCCCCTGTATCCCCCGTTCCCAGAGTCCCTGCTCTCCCAGTCCCTGGGATGTGCTCCCACCTCGGCACTCCTGCTCAGGGTCTCCCCAGTGGTGCTCCTGGCACTGGGAACAGACACGGCCCCCGAAGCCAGGCCGGCACTGGCACTGCCCTGTCACCTGCAGTGACAGTGCCATGTTCACTGTGCAGCTCGCTGGGCCCCAGGAGGGCAGTGGAGCCATACCAGGGTGCCAGGGGACTCACTGTGTCACAGGCAGGGTGCAGGGCGTGCGTGGGGTGGCAGTCACAAGGCTCACAGCCCCTTGGCCCCCCCAGGTTCCAGAAGTGGGGTGCGCAGCGATCACAGCTCTTGCCCACGACGTTGGGCCGGCAGGCACAGGCTCCTGTGCCACGGTCACAATCGCAGGTGCCATCGGTGCAGTGGGAGGCCAGAGTACCCCGTGGGTCACAGCCACAGCCTGCCGGAGGGTGGGTGGACAGTGGGGCTCAGCCCGTACCCGCTGCCTGGGCAGTGTGCTGCTGCAGCCAGCACCCCAAATCTGCCTGACCCCAGTGCCCCCAGTCTGCCTGGCCTCAAACCCCTGCCCAGCCCCAACACCCCTGATCCAAACACCCCCACCAACCCCGATCCCTGTCCCCTGCCCAGCCCCAACACAGTCCCATGCCCCTTCTAACGCTTCTAAACTTCTCCTGGCCCTGAACCTTAGCCTCGCAACACCCCAAAATTCTCCCTGACCCAACCCCAATCACGCCACACCCAAACACAGCCCCACACCCCATCCTTGCCTTGAGCTCTTGCATCACTTCAAGCCCCCATCCCAAGCCCCCGTGCAGCCCCAGCCCCGCGGACCCCGCCCCGCTCACGCCGGCAGCTGCGCTGCAGGGCATTGCCGTAGTAGCCCGGCTGACACTGGGCACAGCGTGGCCCAGCGGTGTGGTACAGGCAGCGCAGGCACTGTCCCGTGCGGGGGTCGCAGCCCTCTGGGTCGCTGGTGTCGATGTTGTTGTTGCACTGGCAGGGTCGGCACTCCCCCCCCTCAATCTCCGGAGCCCCGAAGTAGCCAGGGGAGCAGCGGTCACAGCGGGGCCCTGCAGAGAGGGGGGCTGTGGGTGCTGGGGTCCCGCAGCCCCAGTGCCGGGGGTCCCTGCTGCCCTGAGCCCGCTCTGCCCCTCACCCGCGTATCCGGGGGCGCAGAGGCAGACGATGTGGTGTGTCTCATCGTCCGCGTGGCAGGCGCTGCCGTGGTAATGCCGAGTGCCAGGGTAGCCGGGGCAGGGGCAGGGCCGGCACTGCTGCCCCGAGCCCAGCACAGGGTTCCCATAGTAACCGTCCTGGCACCTGAAAGGACGAGGGGGGACCCAGTGGGTCTCTCCGATCCATCATATACCATCCCACCATCCCATCCCATTCCATCGTATCCCATACCATCATATCTCACCCTGTCCTAACCGATTGTATCCATCCCATTCCATCTCAATCCCATCCCATCCCATCCCATCCCATTCCATCCCATCCCATCCCACACCATGCCATCCCATCCTATTCTATCTACCCCATCCCATCATATCTACGCCAGCCCATCCCAACCCACCCCACCATTCCATCATATCCCATACCATCACATCTCATCCTGTCCCACTCCACTGTACCAGCCCCATTCCACGCCATGCCATGCCATCGCCTCCTCTGGGAGCGGGCTCACCTCTCGCAGTGCCGCCCGCTCGTGTGGTCACGGCAGCGCAGGCAGGTGCCCGTGCGGGGGTCGCACTCCTCGGCATGCCCGTTGCACTGGCAGGGCCGGCAGGCAGGGAAGCCCCAGTGGCCGGGCTGGCACTGGTCACACTGCCGGCCCACGGTGCCGGGCTGGCACCGGCACTGCCCGCTCACCTTGTCGCACAGCTGGGACACCGAGCCCTCGGGGGAGCAGCTGCAGGCTGCGGGGCGGCACAACTCGGGTCAGGCACATGGGTGCAGGGACACAGGGATGGACAGACAGACAGACAGACAGGGAGGGGACCAGCACCCAGAACAAGCTCACTCCATGGGCTGTGGTACAGAAGGGCTCATGTGGACACATAAGTCCACAAGAGCGTGGGTAGACAGACAGATGAGAGAGTGCAGGACAGCACAATGCTCACATCCACATGGGACTCATGTGGATGGATAGATGGATAACTGTGACTGAACCCATGGGCTGCAGGACAGCAAGGCTCAGATGGACACATGCACAGACAGATGAACAGACAGACAAGTGAACAGAGCAGTGAAGAGGGCGCTGATGGCTGGACAGACAGACAGGAAAAACCGCAATTCCTGGCAGACAAAGATCCCAGTACTCACGGCTGCATCCCAGGGGCCCAAAGCCGAAGCTGCCCGGGGCGCAGTGGTCGCAGCGTCGGCCAGTGACGTGGGGCTTGCACTCACACTGCCCGCCTTGCACCTGGCACTCGCTGCTGCGGGAGCCCTGTGGGTCGCACTGGCAGGCTGCGGGAGCAGGACCAGCATGGGGCCAGGGCTGCCTTGTCTGCACCTGCCCACACCTGCCCACACCCTGCCACTGCTCTCCTGCCCACCATGCCATGGACACGGCCATATCCTGACCCACTGCCCCAGCAGGGCTCCACCCCTGCCCACCCCTGGGTCCCATCCCTGCAGCTCCCCACTCACGCAGCGCCCCGCCGTGCATCAGAGCTGACACGCTGCACACCAGGCGGGCACAGGCCTCGGCCAGGGGATGAGGGGGGGCCATGCGAAACACCTCCAGGCACTGGTACCGCTCCAGCTCCTCCTGGCGCGCTGCTGCCTCTGCCCCGTGGAACCCTGGCAGCTCTGACACCCGTGGCAGCAGCACCAGCTGGGGGAAGGGAAGAGGAGATGGGGCAGGGGGGGCATTGCCAGCCTCCACTGTGGGACCTTCCACTAGGCTGGATCCATGTGCTCCAGGACAGTCCCAGTGCTGCTGGGGCCAACTGCCCCAGCTCCATCAACAGCCCCAGCTCCACTGACATCCCCAACCCCACTGATATTCCCATATAAATTGCCATTCCCAGAAGCTTCCTTAATCCCCTTCCACGCTGACAACCCTATGCCAGCCCCAACTCTACCTAAATCCCCAGTCTCATTGATATCCCCTTCCCCTTCAACATCTACTTCCCCATTCCCATCCCCATCCTCATCTCATCCCCATCTCATCCCATCCTGATCCCACATACATCCCCAGAGGAGGGTCACTTCCCACTCCAGCCTCTGGTTCCCTGTCCACCCCTGCTCAGCCTCAGGCACAAGGTGCAGTGGGACCCCTCTCACCGAGTCAATGAGGATGAAGGCACCAGGGTGGCGCTGGGTGACACCGGCCCGCTGAAGCCGCATGGTCACCTCATAAGGGGTGCTGGGCTCGAAGCAGAAGGGCCGGGACAGCAGCACGTACCTGAACAGAGTCAGCTGTCGCATGGGCACGGCAGGGCCATGGAGACAGCAAAAGGACAGCAGCAGGACCCAACCACCTCCCTCGTTCCCATCCCCAGCCCACCGCAGCCCATCCCACGGCACCTCTGGCTGTGGGGCAGGCTCTGGCGGTACATCTGCTCGGAGGGCAGCAGGTTCCCACAGCGAGAGCTGGTGGGCAGCACCCGGGAGCTGACGCTGACCACGGCCTCCCAGTCCTCGGCTGACTGCGGCGACAGGCAGGGCAGTGTCAGGGCTGTGCTGTGCCCCACACGCCGTGGCTGTGGCCGTGGCTGTGGCTGTGCTCACCTCGGGCTCATAGCGCAGCAGCAGCTCGTAGTCCATGGCGTAGGGCACGTTGTCCACGCGGAAGGTCAGGCCAGCCCCGTCCCGCACGCGGGCGAACCCCAGGCCTGTCCACGTCACCATGCGCCCGGCGCTGTCCCGCACCACCTCCTCCACATCCAGCTGGGCAGGGCACCGGCACAGTTTGGCCCTGGCTCTACCCCCGGCCACTTCTGCCCTGCAGTGCCTCACTGTGCCCTCTCCTACCAGCTCACCTTGGGGGGCTGCTGGCGGCTGCGGCGCGGGGGGACGGGGGGCTGGGGAGCACGGGGGGGGCTGCGCTGACGCCGTGAGCGTCCCTTCCGCCCCGCCGGCTCCCTGGTGTCATAGTCCAGGCAGTCCTGGGGCACCTCCGCCCGAATGGCACCCTGCAGGGATGGGGTCAGGGGACGGTGGCCATGCACAGGGACAGCCGTGCGCAAGGATAGCCATGCACAGGGCATGGTAACAGCCACAGGCAGGACAGGGTGACAGCCATGCACAGAGCACAGCGGCAGCTATGCATGGAGCATGGTGCACAGTCACAGCCATGCACAAGCACAGTGACCCCCAGGGAGACTCACCGGGAGCTGAGGGTGGCTGTGGCCATGGCCGGTGGCCTGCTCGGCCTCATAGGTGTAGTAGTCGAGGGGGGCACAGAAGAAGCCGGGTTGCACCTGGTCACACTGCCGCCCCATGATGTGGGGACGGCAGGGACATGCCCCATCCTCCATGGAGCACCTGGGGGGTGACCATCCTGTCCTTTCATCTGTCCTTCTGTCTGTGTCTTCATCCATCCCTACTTCCATCTCTGTCCCCATCCCTCCACCTCTGAGGATAGAGATCCCTCTCTTTCTCCTTCCAACCCAGCCCCCATATCTCCCCAGCCTTGTCCCCATCCCTCCCTCCCCCATGTGTGACTCCCAGCCCTGTCCCCACTCTCGCCCCACCCCTGCCCCTGCGGGTGCTGTGCTGGCCCCACCGGTTGTTGTAGGCTCCCCCGAAGTCGCAGGCGCAGGGCCGGCAGCCCCCCAGGTCGTAGCTCAGACCCCAGAACTCGGGCTGCAGTGAGGAGGGGACATGTAGGGCAGGTGTGGGGCCAACCCAGCCCTGTGGGTTGCCATGGGGATGGGGACAGTCAGTCCCACGGGCTGGGGCACTCACCACACACTGGCTGCAGGAGCGCCCAGCCACGAAGCGTTTGCAGTAGCAGTCCCCACTGATGGGGTCACACGGGGAGCTGCCTGCCACCGTACCCCGTGGGTCACACCTGCATGCTGCCCCCACACACGCACATGTGAGGGGGTGCCAGTGGGACTACAGCCCACGTGCTTCTTGGCCCTCCTTCCCCATCCTAAATCCATCCATCTTCATCCCTTCCATCCCCATCCCTCCATCACCATGCCTCCATCCATTCTCATAGAACTATGCCATATCCTTCCATCCTACATCCTTCCATCTCCGTCCCTCTGTCCCAGATCTTTCCATCCTCATCCCTCCATCACCATACCTCCACCTCCATCCCTCCATCCTCATCCATCCCATCCCCATTCCTCCAATTTCATCCCTTCATCCCTACCCCTCCATCACCCCCCATCCCCATCCCTTCTCCCACTCCATCCCTGGCTCCCAGCTCACGCTGACAGCCCTGTGGGTCGTCATGGCTGAGGCCATAGGCGCCGTGGCGGCAGCGGTCGCAGCGGGGACCAGCCACGTTCTCCTTGCAGCGGCACTGCCCCGCAATCATGCCCAGTGCCACGTCCGTGTGCCCATCACAGGCACCTCCGTCCAGCGAGCCTGCTGGGTCACAGTCACACGCTGCCAGGAGAGAGGATCATCACTAGCTCTGGCTGTTGGCACCAGGAGCTGTGAGGCTGGGGCAGCAGCGGGATCCATAGGGCTGGGACAAGCTGTGGGGCTGGGGTCCCAGGACACTCACGGGCACAGGCAGTGGGGGACCGGATGTCGGAGCGAGGGTGCCGGTAGTAGAAGGGCTTGCAGAGGTGACAGCGACGGCCCATGGTGTTGTGCTGGCAGTCATCACACACAGCCCCACTGGTGTTCCCCGTGGCCAGGAACACGGCCATGTCAAAGTGGCACCGCCGTGAGTGCTCGTTGCAGTCACAGCCTGCAGGGACAGCACCGTGGCATGGCATGTGGCACCACAGCCCACACCTGCCAGGCAGCACCCCGAGTGCCAAACCTCCCCTGCCTGGGCTCTCCTTGCTCTGACATGCACTACCACAATCCCAAACCTCCCCAAAGTACAGCCCTGGCACCCCAAAACCCCTGGCACAGCACAGCCTGGCAGCCCTGGCACTCACGGCGACAGGCGTTGGTGCTGGAGCCCTCGGCTGGGCGCCAGGGCAGGTCTTGGTAGAAATCCTCGCAGCGCTCGCAGTTCAGCCCCTGCGTGTGGTGCTCGCAGACACAGCGCCCGTGGATCTGCGGGGAGCACCCAGCTCAGTGGGGCTGCCAGGTCCCACGGGCACCGTGCCGTGCTGGTGGGCGCGTGTGCCTCACCATGCCGGGGACAGAGGGTGTCGGGGCACCCGGTGCTGGGGCACAGTGGGCAGCGTGGCCGTGGCAGAAGCAGCTCCCGCGCAGCACCAGCTCATCCACAGCGTAGTAGTACTTGTGCAGCACCTCCCGCCGTGAGTCCAGCAGGTTGTCCCCCAGCGTGTGCAGCTTGGTGAGGTTCACCCGCAGGTTGGTGACACGAAGCAGGTCTGGGGGTGTGTCACTGTTAGCAGCTGCCCGACGCCAGCCAGCCCTGCATCCCCCACACCCCCGGCAACACACCCTGTATGGCTGGGCTGTAGGGATCTGCTACGGGGATGGAGGGGTCCAGCACCTTGAAGATGACCTGTGAGAAGGAAGGAAGGAAGGGGTGATCCCATTCCAGCCCGACCCCTGGCCCTGCTCTGCACCACCCCATCCCCACGCACCTCCCCATGGCTGGACGGCTCGATCTCAGAGTAGCGCTGGTCACACAGCACCTCATCCACAAGCCCCAGGGCGTGGCTGGGGATTCCCGGGAAGAGCTTGGAGCAGTTGTAGGCGAAGTAGCGGTACACTTTCCAGGTGCGCCCAAAGTCGGCTGAGCGCTCCACCAGCATGGCCGCGGGGCGGAAGGTCTGCAGGACACCCAGACGGGATGGGGGCCAGACCCACAGCCCCTCCAGATCCATCCTGCCCCATCCCATTCCATCCCATCCCAGGCATCCATGTGCCGGCACCCACTTTAAACTTCATGATCAGGTGGGTGAAGTGGAACTCGCCCTCCAGGTCCAGGCGGATGCTGACATGCTCCACACCTGGGAGACAGAGACAGAGATGGCTGAGGCTGGGGAAGACCCCCATGGCCATGCAGCCCCACAGCACATGCATATGGGGCAACCCCACTGCCACCCTGACCTCACCATTCTCCGACTGCCACCAGGTCCGTTTGTCATGGGGGCTGCTCAGGTAAATGACATTCTCGATGCGGTGGCTCTCAGGCAGGGACGGGTCACGTGAGTCACAGGTGAAACATTTCTCTGAGTCCTGTGCCAGGGAGCGGCACCATCAGGGACGGGTGACTGGAAGCTGCACCAGTGCCTGGCTGTGTGGGTCTGTGCTGGAGCTGCTGTGGGGCTGGGTGGGCTCACCTGGAGGTGGCTGACGATGCAGTACTCCTGGGGCCCGTCCAGCCCACAGGTGGAGGTGGCACTCAGGCGGGTGGCTCGCCCCACCAGCAGGTTCCCAGTGGCTGGGTAGCAGCTGCCTCGGGCACAGCCGTGGCTCAGGTCAGGTTCCTGCCAGTCCCCTGCCACCAGTCCCCCAACTGCAGAGAGCATGAGGGCACAGGCTGGGGGCTGCGCTGGGGCACCTGGGCACCCCCTGCTTCCCCGTGCACCCACCCCACCCCCAACCATCCCATCCCGTCCCATCCCTGCATCCCGACCCACTGATGCAGCATGAAGCTCCATGATCCGGAAAGGTGCTGGCAGCAGCGCCGCAGCCTCGTGACCAGGGGCAGGGAGCAGGGTGAGCGGGGGGCTGGGCTGCCCGTGCTCCTGGGGGCCCGGGCAGCCCCAGGGTGCCGAGAAGTGCCGCGGGGAGTCAGGAGCCAGGTCAGGCGCTCGCTAATCCCGGCAGGGCTTAGTGCAGCCTGGATTCCCCGCTGGGCTTTGTGGCAGTCAGGCTATGGGCACTGCCAGGCAGGGAGCATCGTCACTGCCGCCATCTCTGCTGACCAGCACCCTCCACCCACACTGGGGTCCCTGAACCACCACAGCTCCCAGCACTGTGGGTATGCAGGGTGCCCCCAAGGCCAATGCTTACCCAGGAGGAAAGCAAGCACCAAGAGGTCCATGGGCAGCCACGGGATCTGCCTGGTGGAACACGGAGATGGCACTGCGATAGGGCGCAGGGTATGGCATGGGGTGCAGGGCAGCTTGTGCCTGTCCTCTCCTGGCTCTAGCACGACTGTGCAGTCCAGGATCCACCCCCCACACTGGCATGATGGTGCTTTCCAGGGACAACACGAGGAATCAGGGTCATTTAAGGCATGTGGGTCTGAAAGTCCTCCAGAACAACATGCAGTGTCCACCTGAGCAGCCCTGGGGGACTGTCACACACACATCCAGGCACACAGCCATGCTATGCCCCACCAGAGCTGGCACAAACTGTGGCATGCCCCATCCTGCCTGGCTCTGAATGGATCTATCCTTTTGAGAGTCACTAGTGTCCCTGGGGGGTACCAGCACCGGGCCAGGGCCAGCTTGGGAGGGGAGCCAGGAACTCCGGAGCCGGCTGGGCAAGGGCATCCCTGGCTCTGGCCAGGGTCCCACTGTTAAATTTAGGTTGGAGCTGTCTTTTGTGTTTCCTTCTCTCCCGGTACTTCCCGCTCCCAGCCTCACAAGTGCTGGATCAAAGCCTGGTCCCGGCTCTGCCCAAACACATCTTTCCTGTCCCCCGCACGGAGCCAGCCCAGGGCAAGGGGGCTCGGGGCGGCGGGGGGAGCCGCGATCCGTTCTGGCACCCGCCCCGCTCGAAGCCATGCCGGGCCGATGGGCAAGGTGGTGCAGAGCCACGTGCTGGCACGAGGGTCCCCGAGCCCCGCGAACCCCCTGTACCTGGCGTCCTGCGGCGTCCGGCGGGCCCAAGGCCAGGGGCGAGGGCGGCGTGGGACCCGCTGGCCCTGGGCTGGGCGCGCAGAAATGAGCTAGGGCAAGGGCAGCGATGGGATGGCGGCTGGTGGCCCCCCTTCCCCGGGTACGATTCTTATTCAAATGGGCTGCCCGCTGAAAGGGACGGCGGTCTCCAGGCTACGGGAATGTCACTGCCGATTCCTTCTGCCTGGAGGCCCCCGCCGCCCGCCCGCCCGCGGAGGCCAGCCCGGCCAGGCGTCGGCAGCCCGGGCACGCCCCGGCCCCCGGGCGGCACGGTGGGCCCCGCCGGCCAACAAAAGGGCGCCTCGTGGGCTGGCGAGCCGGAGGCACCGCGTTCCCCGGGCTCCCGGCACGGCGCGGCAGGAACGTGCCTGCCGCCGGCAGCGAGGCGGGATGGGCGCCTGGTGCTCCGGGAACCGGCGGGGGCAGATTCACAGGGGTCACTGCATCATTCTTTGTCCCAGGTGGGGATGGCCCATAGCGAAGGCACCTGCACGCCTAGGCTGTAGGGTGGAGCCGTGCAGGGCATCGGCTCCACCAGGAACTCAGCCGGGCACGGCGACGATGCTGCCGGATGGGAACGTCCCTCCCAAGGTACCTGTCCCTCCCCACCGCTACAGCTCCCTGGGCAAAGTCCGGCACACGTCAGCCACAGAGAGCGCATGGCAGGGGTGGGGGTACCCAGCCTGTCACTGCCAAGGGTCCCCACAGCTCCTTCCTGGTGTGCTGCCTCATGCCCGTTGCCAGCACCCAGCCCGTGCCATGGGGCTGTGCCGTGTGCCAAGGGCTGTGCCATGCCCCCGAGCTGTGCCGTGCCCAGATCTGCCCACGGCGCACCGGCTCCTACCTGTGCCCGTGGGAGCCTGGGGTGCCGGGCAGGCTGGTGGCCCGGGTGGGCTGCGGAGTGGAGGCCCGCTGGGCTCGGGCTGGGCTCGGGCTGGGCTCAGCTGCTGTTCCTGGAGGAGGGCGGCCGGTGCCTGTCTCCTCCTCCGGCAGCCGTGCCAGGCGAGGGGAGGGACCTGCCCGCGCCGAGCTTTAGCCAAGGTGAGGCAGAGGAAGGTACAGGCTGGCGGTGGCCCACGTGCGACAGACACAGCAGTGTCCTGTGCCTAGGCTGGCCGGGAGAAGGCACAGCATTCCCACAGGGCTGCTGTGCCCGGCTGTGCAGCACGTGGGGCTGCTGAGACAGGCAGCCCGGCTGGGACTCGCCCCGCACGGCACGGGCCCGTCTGTGCCTCTCCAGGGCACCTCTCTAGCAGCAGCAGCAGAAGCCCTGCACTGCACTGCCCCGGTACCCGTGCCAGATGGATCCTGTTGGTGCCCAGCGCTGGCACTGTGGGCACTGCCATGCCCCACTCACCCTGTGCTGGTCGGTGCTGTGTGGGATCCTCTGGACTGGCCGGGCTGGGTGCTGAGCCAGCAGCCCTGGAGCCCTGCAGGGAGCAGGGCTGTGCACCAGGGCCGGGCTCCACAGAGACCTCACTGTCATGCAGGGATAGTGCCTTTTATTAGCCAAGGCCGAGGGCAAAGGAAGGAAAAGGAGCCGTGTGTTCTCCACGCCAAGGCCACGCTCTGGCCACCCGCCGCCAAGCAAGGTCATGGGCAGACAAAGGAGCAGCTCTCAGCCATAGGGATGCCAAAACCCGTGCCCCCAGGGACACCCTGAGACAGCCAGATGCTGTGCTCAGTGCACTACCAGCTCCCCATAGCCATGCACGGCACTCGGCAGCCCGGAGAGGGTCCAGCAGTGCAGGCTGGTGGTCAGGCACCACTGCTACCCTCTGGGCCGGGAGAGCTGGCAGGAGCTGACAAGAGCCATTAGTACTGGCCAGCGTGTCTGTGTCACGGGATCTCGCCAAGCAAAACTCATCTACTCCGAGGAGATCCAGAGAGGCCTGATACAGGCAACTGTAACAGGAGCTGTGGCCTTGAAAAGCGATCAGTAAAGTGGGAGGGAGGGATTCTCTGTGGGATGTTAGGGACGAGAGAGGTATCCCAGCCCATGTCCAGGCACCTCCCTGAAGGCTGCTCTGACTTCCCAAGGCAAGCTGCAGTCCCTTCCTCTGCCCCAGAGCTGAACGCGTGGGGGTGGCCCGGCTCTGCCCGGGAGATTGGCCTGTCCGGGGGCAGCTCCACTGGCGGAGATCTGCCAGCAGCTCTGCCCTCCATCACCAGCCCATAGCCTCGCTCCCCCAGCACCTTTCAGCAGTGCTGTTTCAACGCTGCCGAGCATCCCCCGCTCCCTCGGCTGCCCACAGCCTCGCTCCCCCAGCACCTTTCAGCAGTGCTCAGGGCACTCCTGCAGCAGCACAGAGGCCCTCTCTCCCTCCCCATCCTGGGCAGAGCCCCTGAGCTCCAGGGGCAGCCTCTCACGCCTGGCCAGCCCTGCTTGGACCGACTTCCGTGCACGCAGCAGGCAGCCAATACTTTCCCGAACATCCTTAATGAGCAGAGAATTATTTAACCACTTCCCTTCTCGAGGAACAAGCTCCAGCACGGCACCGGAGCTGCTGTCTGCCCAGGGCCACGGTCCCAGCAGCATTAGTGCTGGGTCAGTGCACCGACGGCCCTGCAGCACAAACTGCATCCAGATCGCAAACCGTGAACAATGGTGCTCCTGTTGAATTAGCTGGGCACAGGGTCCCCGCTGCAGAGTGGGCACATTCAGAGGGAAGCCAGAGGGTGGGCAGGCAGGCTGGGGCTGGCAGAGCACCTGCCAGCACAGTGCCACCCTGAATGTTTCTAGGAATTAACCAGGAATGCGGATTTATCCCAGTTTGTCACCGGGGTATTTCCCACCCCAAACCAGGCAATCCTTAATGGAGTTTTAGTAATGCCAAACTTCCCTGGGAGAACTGGGGAGAAGAGCTGGGGGTGTGGTCTGCAGCTGAGCGTGCCCCATGCAGCAGCTGGGCACACAGGAGACACCATTCCATGGAGCTGGCACAGGGCTGGGAGCAGGAGACAGGGAGGAGCAGGCTGTCATAGCCCAAAGAAAAGCTGGACACATTGGGTGGTTCTGAGCACCATTTTACTGAAGGGCTGGACACCTGCTAGGACTTCATAACAAAAAGTTCACTTCATTTAAGAAAAAAGACAGTCTGGTTTTTGTCCCATTCCCTTCCAAAGAGTGGAATAATACTAACGCTGTCTTTTCACTAAGCAATGCCATTCCAAAATATACAACACTGAATGTGGAACAGCCCAGCTTCATATTAACATTAAATATTATTAGAACTTCAGAAACATTCTACACAAACAAATGAAATGGTAAAAAGTTCACTCAAGAACAAGATGGTCATTTGTAAAATCATGATACAAAGTTTGTCACTCGCCCTCCCGCGGGTTGCAGTTGCTGCTCCCCAGCCACTGCTCGGGATGCCCAAACACCAAGGAATGCCACAGAGGAGCCCGTGGTGCTGGTCTCAGCTGGAGCAGGTTGGTCGTGCTGTGGTGTGGAGATGCCTCTCATGGAGATGCTGCCTGGCAGAGTGGCACAAGTGCTGGGCAGTGCCCACCCAGAGCCCCTGTGTCACTCAGAGCAGCGGCCGTGCCTCTGCTCAGGAAATGCTCCTCCTCAGCTCAGGAGCGCTGCACCAGGACCCAGGAGGAGAGAGGGCACCACAAGGTGCCTTCCCCACCATGAACAAACACTGAATCTCGTTTTGTCCCAGCCCTGGCATGGGCAGTGTGGCAGAGCAAGGGCAGCAGGGGAGGTATTTCTGGGGGTAGCTTTGCAGCACCTTCTCTTTCAAAACAGCACCATGTGCCTGTATCTGTGGGAATCACCAGATACTCACAGGGGCTGCCTGTAGCCACAGGAACACAGGAATGGAAAGGGCTAATTAAGACAATAAGGAGAGAGTCCCAGATGATAATAAGGCCTTTAAGGGACTCCCTGGGGAAGGTATTTTGGAGGCCACATGAGCTGTGCCAGATTGTGAGACCAGTGAAGGATGGGAATGAAGGGTAGGAGGGGTGCCTGCTCCAAAAGGACTCCCACTCACCTGTGGCACCAGTGTCCATGTACTGCTGCCAGGCAGGGTAGAGGAAGCTCTGTGGCTGGGCAGGGATGGAGGGAAGACAGTGATGTGGAAAGCCACAGCCTTGGCTCCTCTGTTTGCACATCTCCTGCAGCAGGCACAGAAGCAGCAGCCTGCTGGCTGTCCAGGTGCTGCTGGCATCTTTAGCTTTCCCAGCTTCTCACTTTTCCACCAGCC